AATAAATAAATAAATAAATAAATAAATAAATAAATAAATAAATAAATAAATTGAGGACTACCTGTGTATCCTAAAAATCTAATAGAATGGTGTTATTTTCCACTTCTTTTCTAAAAAAATAATAGAGAAGGGGCCATTCTGACTGGCAAGAAAAGTGCTCCATACAGCTGGAATACAATTAACATTTCGCAGGGAGGCAATCAGAAGTATGCCAATCTGGACTGAGCAAATGGTCCTGTAGGCAGCAAGACCTGGACCATAGACGATTTTATATGATGTTACCAGCACATTAAATCTGAAACTTATTGGCTAGTAACGGTGTTTCTAGATAGCATTCTCATGCTAAATCATTTCTAATCTGTCTTCTAATTTGTCAACAAGCAGGCAACCGTCTTTTGAACCAACTGTTTGTTAGTATCCTCAAAAGGCAACACTATGTAGGCACCATTATAGTAATAATATGAAGCTCCTATAAGTGTAACCCAGATTGTGTCGGGCTGGTTTGCTTAGCATGATTCTATTCCTTTGGTTCAACCACCAAAGGAAGGCCTGCTTTGAATTCTCCCCCCCCCCCAAAAAAATACATAGAGTTGGATTATAAGATAGATCTTTTTAGTGGGACACAAGCATCTTTTTTGTATTCAGGAAGGCCCTCAAATCAGTTTTGTCCCAGCATCCTTACAATAGGCAGCAAACCTTTTAAAACAAAAATATTCATTTATTTATTAGATTTTTATTCCACCTTTATTACTTCTATAAGTAAGGCGGTGACCATACTAATATTCCTTTGTCCTCCTATTTTCCCACAACAATAACCGTGTGGGGTGGGGTGGTTTGAGAGAAAGTGACTGGCCCAAAGTCACGCAAGTAGTTTTCATGCCTACAGCAAGACTAGAACTCCTTATCAAAATGTTCACCTATTATGTGACCCCCAAATGTGTTTGATTTTGCCTTAGAATGCTATGTCATTAAGCCATTGTGATTTATATAATATATTGCTCATATACATAGTGTACTTTATTGTATCTTGTTTTGTTTCTTTTCTCATTGTTTAGAGTGTAGTCCTATACCTATTTACTTGGAATATGCCCTAATGAATATGATTAGTTTTTAGTCAATTGTATTGACACATTCTTTTACTATTATAATAGTAACTACAATCCTTTTCACCATTATCATTTAAAAAGAAATGATAAGATGAAAGTTGTTTCTAGGATTATTTTTCTAAATTAAGGAGTATCTACAGCACTGTATTTCATTTTTTAATACGCATTGCCCTATCTATGTATGATGCTTCCCACAGCAGCATTCAATATTGCGTAGGTGGTTTCTCGTTTTACTTCAATGGAAGGCGAGACACAATCAGTTGTGCTTCAAGACCTGGAAACCAAGATTCATGTGCAAAGCTGATGACAACAACATAATCTCTGCTAAATACAAGATGTGTCATTCACAGTATCGAAAGGCTAGGAGTCAATACAAAATGATGGGTGAGCAATTTTCAATTCATATATTCTTTAGCATACTTTTAAAACTAGGGATTCTCTGCTGATTATTCAAGCAGTCTTTGAAAGCAGTTTGATCTTCTTGCTTTCCCTCTAAGAGCTAAAACTGACGCTATGCATTTCAGAGATAAAAGCTTAGCTATTTAATGGAAGTTGTTTATCAGAGCTGTCTCCTTTTCCCATCACTGGAATAGATTTTTTTCCCCTCCTGATCCCAATTTATAGGTAATACAACCTGTTTTGCAACAATAAGTGTGCTTTGAAGTTTTATTGATCTGTTGCTAAAGGGATGTTCTCTTTGAAGAAAAAAGTAGCAGAAAAGTAAGTACTTTTATCAAAAAGTGATCAGATGCATCACTTTCCTGCTTACCTTATTAGGTACAAATAGCAGCTGATTTAGGAAAAGAACTCAATTGTCCCTGCTCATAGTTATTTCTAACTGGCTTATTTTTCTGGGAATTGTGTTAAGATTGAAATTTCAACAAAGAAACCTTGTTAATAATTGTAATATATCCTTTGTTTCTCAATACTTACACCTCTCTCTGCCACTACAGTATTTTGTTTTGTGCAACTTACCTGATATTGTACTTCCTTATTCTGTTATGCACCCTAAACATGGCTTTGATTTATGTCTGCTAATGTTTACTGATTTCAGAATCATCAGATTGGTTGATAAATGATAACTCAATGGCTGCATGTTAGAAATGAGGGAAAGCAAGAGATAGTCAAGTGTTTAGACTACCTGGGCCATCAACAGAGGTTGATGTTTTCTAAGAAATCTTTGAAAGAGATATTCTGACCTCCACATGGGGAGATAAACAAGTTTATTTACAAGCTGAAACTCTTTGTTATGCTTTCCCAACTCATAAGGCAATTTGGTTCTGGGGGCTGAATCCTTGTTCTAAATCTCTGCAAATAAGAGAGAATTGCCACCTCACCTTGGGATTTATGATTATTTCACCTGTCACTGCCCACTGCAAGATAGGTGGGAGAACAAAAGTCAGTGCCACTTTCCTTAAGATGACCAAATTTAATTGTTTATCTGCCCCTCAGTTCCTCTCACTCAAGTTGTGATGAAGAAAGATCTATTTTCCATTCCTAACCACACTGAAATTAGGAGGGCAGAAAACCTGGAGAAAGGCAAGATGCAGTGATTATGTCTGCGTGTCAGTCAGAAACCATTTCCTTTCTTTTTTACTTTTTAAAGGACTATTAATTTCCTATTTCAGGAGAAAAATCGCACTGATTATGCTCTGAAAACCTTTGAAATCTTGATTGTTCTCCCAGGCTTGCAGTAGGGTGCTGTTCAGCCCCTATGGGTAGTTTTTATTCAGTTTTCCCTTTTTGATGTCTATAATTTGTTCCTTATTTTTTTTAAAAAAATTATTCCTGCATTTAAAGTATAAGCCATTCAGAATTGATTGCAGTTGGTGGCCTCAACATTATGTAAATACAGTATGTATACTGGGAAGCAGCTGTGTCCTTCTGCTCCCTCACAGAGGAATGGTGGTGGGGAGCACAAGCTGCCTGACATCTCCTTATAAGCTTTCTCCAAGGCCTGCCAACTGAAGCTTGGGGAGGTGGGGAGGATGGGGGGGGGGAAGAACTCCAGTCTCACCTTTCTAATCTTCTAAACTCCCAGAGATGTGAGCCTAAGTAATAGAAGGTGGAGACCTTCATTTGTATGTGAACTCATTCCAGGTTCATCGTGCACCCTTCTCTGACTACCAATTTATTAAGTTCAAAGCCCATTTTGGGGAGAGGGGTAGATGAGGGAATATTGATCTCCAGAAAGACCTGCATGTATTATATCCATCCCACATTCCCCCAAAGAAACAGACTTGTCTGATTTCTCTCTCATTCAAAGTCAAAATGGTAATTGAGAGCATTATTTGGTGACTGAAGCATGCCCATAGCAGACTTAAGCAGCCACTAGGATCGGAGTTGTTGTCATCTCTTGTTCTCATCATCACCAAAATGCAGCAGAATGATGGTATGGCAAGATTTGTGATGGAAAAAAGAAGAGAAACACCACTTTAACAGGACAGTAATTATAGATGACTCTAGGCTGCCTTAGGAGCAGACTGGGATAAGATGAGGACACATCATTAAAAATGGTTAGTAACATGTTTTTATGCCACAACTGGTAAGACATGAAGATAAGCTTGTAATTTTGCATTCAACCCTTTCAAAGAAGGAGGCTGCATGCTTCAGCTGCAATAATAAAGCAAATAAATAGCAAAAGGAATATAAATCCAAATCCACTTGCTTAATTTTTATATTGTTAATACAGGAATTACAACATTTATAACATTGTGAGATTAGAGAAACAAACTTCTCTGTGATCATCTTTTACACTATCCTGTTAAATTGATTTTCTCATATTTTAACTTTAATTCACTTCTGGATTTATCAATGGTATAGGCAAATCATTATGTGGTTTATTGCAAGAAAACAATGTGGTACTGTTGTTTTCAGACAAGTAATGCGTTACTTCTGAAGCAATGCTGAAAAATCTGGGAGCACCAATTTTACACAGCACAAATGCAAGCCATCATCAATGTGGTATCTATCAGATGGGTGACTCATGACCCTGTCTTTCCAGTCAACCCACCCTCAATGACAGAAGAAAGTTGGGGAAGGCTCATATTTAAAATCTGTCAGTGGATGTTTGGAAAACGGAGGCCTGATTCACATGTAGAATTAAGCTACAATTGATGGGTTTAACATAACACTGTTAAACCAAAACCAAACAAACCACCCAATGGTTTACATAACATGGAAGGTAATTGTGGCTTAAATATTCACCAAGTCCATTCTCTCCATTTGCTGAATCCTGCTGTGGGCTTGCCCACGCAAGGTAGGGATGAATTTTGACAATACCCTCCACTTTGATTCTGAAAACCTTCTCAAATTTTTATTTAATTGGTGGCTCTGCTCTGAATTGCTTATGGCACCTTAAGAACTTAAGCATCCACAGAACCCCTCTTCCAAGGGACTAATATCCTTTCTCTTCAGAAATAGTCATTCCAAACTAAGGCATCCAAGATTCAAGTTTGCCTTGAATATTTCATCTATCAGGATTCTGGAAGTATGCCTTCTCTATAGCAGTGCCTGCCCAATGGAATGACAGTCCCCCCTTCCAAAGACCCAGATCTCTCCCCCCCCTCCCCTTCTCTAGACTAGGAGCTGTTAAGATATGCCTCTTCACCCAGGCTTTTAGCAAGGGAGAATGAGAGTTTCATCATGCTTATCTTTTATTGTATTTTTTTTTATCTTTGGGAGCTGCTCAGAGTGGCTGAGAGCCAAGTGATATACAAGTTTAAGAAATTATTGTTAAATAATTCTAAGGGCAGTTAAGGCAACACTCCATTATACAGGTGAAACTCGAAAAATTAGAATATCGTGCAAAAGTTCATTTATTTCAGTAATGCAACTTAAAAGGTGAACCTAATATATGAGATAGACTCATTACATGCAAAGCAAGATAGTTCAAGCCGTGATGTGTCATAACTGTGATGATTATGGCTTACAGCTCATGAAAACCCCAAATCCACAATCTTAGAAAATTAGAATATTACATGCAATCAATAAAACAAGGATTGTACATAGAACAATATCAACAACGCTTCTGATGTTGTTTGTTGTTCAGGAGCGGCTTGACAAGAGGAATACGACATTTGCATCATTACATGCAAAGCAAGATAGTTCAAGCCGTGATGTGTCATAAGTAAGATGATTATGGCTTACAGCTCATGAAAACCCCAAATCAGAAGC